GCAACTACAAGATAACCAACAATGCATGTATTTAGTTCAAGATGAAATCCTCTACCCTGCACAATTGTACTCAGTGTACCAGCGTTCAGATGACCCGATTCCAGAAATCTCTGAGCCTGACTCTCAGGATCCCTTGGAAATGCCGTTGAACCCGGGTCAGATGGACGTATGGTGGGAAAATCACGAACATGGAGACATGCATGGATTGGCGACGATACATGGAGCTGTGAACGACTCCAGAACCAGAATCTTATTGGACACCGGTGCGTCCGTGAGCAATATGAGTCTTGATCTAGCGCGTAGACTCAAACTCAAGCTCCGGTCACACCGTCAAATCAATGTTTCTGGTTTAGGAGGAGTGACCACTTACATTACTACTCATGCCCGAGTGAAGATAACTCTTGGATGGAGTGTGGTGTGGGTTGGAAATATTGGAGAAGGTGTTGACGCTCTGCTAGGCATGAACTTTATGCATTCGGCAGGTGTCTGACTCTGCATACGAGAAGGCTTAGTCAAGCTGCCAGACAAAGAGACTGTGGTTATGTATGATGATAATCCCAAGTCCCGTGGTATGGACCTTCCCGTGTGACCAGAGGAAAGCATACACCTGCGTCCTGGTCAGGACGCTATTGTACGAATCCGGTATGGCCACCCCAATCGTCAACGTGAGTTGGTGTGGGCTGGGAGAGGCAAAACCTGGGTGACCAAGGTCCTGTATTCCGCCAGATCCTGGGTGACTGCCGTCAAGGTAGTCACTGTTTCAGACCAGAATGTCTGGATTGACATTAGGACTGCTGTTGCGCGTATTGTGGAGTACAGACAGTTTCCAGGACAGCCTGGATTCATTCGTCCTGGGAAGGCGCGGTATGAAGAATGTCAACAACTAATCCATGAGTGTACCGTGTCACGCCAGGCAAGGATGGATGCTGAACAATTGGAGCAGAGCCTCCGTGCACCCAGACTCAGAGATATCAGCGGCCTACTAACCTCTTAATGCGTCCCCCGCCCCAAGCCGCTGAAGTGAAGATGGTAAGTTACAAGAGAAACCGTTGTATATGACACTCAAGATCATCGGAAATTCAGCGGTCGCCATGAACACGGCCGCGAGAGATCCCGAGGAACCTGGGACTCGTCCTGAGCAGATAGAACCGACCCATTCTGACTTGAGTCCAGAAGTTAAAACCCTGGATCCAGAGTGTGTTGCTGATGACGCGGATAATGCTCAGGTTCTTGAACCGTCCGTGGATATCCAGCCACAGACGAACTGCTCGGCACCGGTCCAAAGGCTGGAAGCAGAATATGTTCGGGTGATGCGAGTCTCTGCGGAAGAGCTGGATCTGGAACCTGCCGTATATCTCAGGGAAGGAAGTGATTTGATGGCGCAGTTATGAAACCAAGTTATCATGCTCCCGGAAATTGAGGAACTGACCCCAGAATGTAACATCGACGAAGCTAATCTCGGAGTTCCGGGGATCACAAATCCAGAGATGGAAACCAAGATGATAGGGATCCTGAAACGCCATCGCAGCATCTTCCTGGGAGATGTCAACGCAGCTCCAGCCCCAGCTAAGGGCGTAGTGTGTGATATCGACGTTGGCGAAGCAAAACCAGTGGCTTTTCGTGCGAGACATTGCCGTACCTTTCTTGGTGAAGATGTTTTAACTCCTGAAGAAGTTATTGGAGGCAGGGCTCATTGAGCATTCAGAGTCCGAGTGGTCATCACCTATTGTGATTGTGCTGAAGAAAAAAGGCATATACATCCGGATGTGTATTGACTACTGAATTTGCACATCAAGCTATCCCGCTATCCTCTACCTTTGATCGATGACTTGCTGGTAGACTTCAAATTCGCGATGTGGTTTATGAGTCTCGACATGGCGAGTGGATTCTGGGCGGTGCGAATGACTGAACGTGCGAAGTTGATCTCTGCGTTTGTCTGCCCGTTCGGCCACTTTCAATGGATCAGAATGCCTTTTGGATGCGCCGTTAATTTTTCAGAGCATCATCAACAACTGCCTGTGGGGATTCGTCCGTTAGCCTCCTGAGGAGGAAGTGATGGTTGACCCAGAAGTTCTAGAGTTCTGGATCCCGAGCCTCAAGAAGCCTAAAGTGGATGTGAGGAACTCAGAGATTCAATCATTGGACATGACTGTATTCCGACGCAATATTCCACTCCGTCACAAATAGGTCCGGTCTTGGGAAGAAGTTCGTATATTGACTATATCGCTCATGGGGCGTCGACCTGGGACCAACTATGTGAGGACCTGGACGCATTGTTGTACAGCCTACGATACTGGAATATCTCTGTGAGCTTACCGAAAAGTGAATTCGGAAAGTTGGCCATCCCATTCCTTTCTCATGAAGTGTGATCATTCCGCATGCTAACACGTTGACGGCTTGGGCAGTTTTGGGCCAGAAGCATGAAGGATTCATACACCCAGTACCATTTACTGGCAGAGTGTTGAAGGAATCAGAGCTACGTTACCATATAACTGAGAAGGAAGTATTTGCAATTTTGCGGACTCTGGAAGTTTTCAGACCTCTGATCCACGGATCAGAATTCCCGGTTGTGGTGTATACGCGCTACTCTGTGCTAAAGTGGTTATTACAATCCAAAACCGCAGATGGACGACATCTGAAATAGGGGGGGGGCTGGAACTATCAAGATGGACACTAAAAATCCATCGGACTCAGAAAGATGAGGACAGCCTCGCAGCCATCCTTGGGTCCGGTATTACTTCCAGGGAACATTTGGATAAAGTTGCAGAGACCCTGATTCCAGCCAAAGGACGTCTGAACGTGATGCCACCAGTGAGTATGGAAATGTTAGACGCGAGTTACCAAGACTACGTTCTGAGTTTGGATGGCGCTGCAAAG